GCGAGGGAGGGAAGGAGGCTAGATTGGGACAATCTGCGACAAGCTGTTTGCTCTTTCCCCACAAACCCGCAAACCCACAAACCCACAAACCCACAAACCCGCAAACCCGCAAACCCGCAAACCATGAATGATGCGGCTCCAGCTATAAGCATGGGGGCACGAGAATAAGAATGCGGGTCGTGTCCACTTTCTTCCATCTTGCTTCTCGAAGGCCACGAGTCGGAGCCGTGCGACGGTGCGAATGCGTAATAGAGCCGGCCTAGACGCATCTTTCGGCCCTTTATGGTCAAGGCGAGGTCGGGAGCGAGACAAGCAATGCGGGGGGGGGGACTCGGCTTGCTTGGTGGGAAATGAATCTGGGCGTGGACGGAGGGGAGGAGTGGGGGAGGAGGGGGGGAGGAGGGGACCAGGAGGGGACCAGGGAAGGGGACCAAGAGGGACCAGCAGGCCACCAACAGGCCACCAGCTGAACGTTTAAGGAATGAGGAGCGCAGATCCGCGTGAGCACACGTGCCCCTAGTCTCGATCGGGCATCCCCACAGGGCCCTCCCCTTGCCAGGCACAACCACTTCCAGTAGTACTACGTAGTACAACCCGTCGGACCCGAACGAGCCCCATTCCTTCCGACGATACTCCGCGGACCTCGTGCTGGGACGTATGCAATCCGCCGCAAACCTTCACTTTCAAAATCCACCGAAAGAAAAACCTTCCCTTCGGTCTATCGAAACCTTCGGAGAGGAGAAAATAAAACAAAAACAGCAAGGCAGAAGGAAATGAGGGGAGAAGAAAAAAAACAAAAAACAAAAAAAACAAAAAAAAAAACCCCTGCCCAACTCGATCCCATTGTAGCACTCATCTCCGCACTTTCCAGCGACGCAAGACTCCATTCCACCATGATCGGTCGGCACTCACCACGCCGGCTTGGCTCCGACTGTATTACCTAAGTATCAAGCGACGTACCTTCTCCCCGGATCGCCCTCCCCGCTGGTAGTAATCGTGGTTACCCTATGAAATACGTATCATTCGAAGTAAATGACCGACTGGATGCAGCAAGTCGAATCAACTTTTCAAGAATTGAATCAGGTCGGCGGGGGTTAGTAATAGTAGTAGTAGTAGTAGTAGTGGTGGTAGTAGTACTACTACTACGACTACTACTATTCTACTACTATTTACTACTACCACCACTACCACTCACCATCTCGCAATAGTATTAACACCCGCCACGAGCGGGTATCCAAAACGCCATGCTTGCTTAGACCCTAGAACCTCCCACCTCCCACCTCCCACCTCCCCTTCCCACCCACGAGGCTCCTAACGTACCTACCTACCACCTACCACAGCACGCACTACTACGTAAGCAAGTAGAAAGAAGAAGAAAAAAAAGCATATGCAAAACACGGAGCCATCAAACTAAGCCTTTTTTTTTTTTCTTTCTCCATCTCTTCCCTCCCCCCTTACCCCCTACCCCCTACCCCCTACCCCCTAAACCCCTACCCCCTGGTTCCCCCTCATTCGCAACAAGTCCCCTTGGTACGACAACTATATTCCGAATCGGTATGCCCGTCAGCTTAGTCGCTAATCGCGTGGGCGGGGCCAGAAGACAAGAAGGCGGTTCGGGAGTTATCGGAAGCGCCGCTGGGTAGGGTAAGGGGGGAGGGAAGGGAGGGAAGGGAAAGATAAAGAAAAAGCAGAAAGAAAAGCTTCCTTTTCTAGAGAGAGCGCCGCCGCCGCATGTACCGCAGGAGAGAGAGAGAGAGGGAGCTGAAGGTTCACAGCAGGTAAACCTCGTAGGGTACAGGTAGGTAGTAGGTAGGTAAAGAATCGTACGTCGCCTGTAGCCTCCCCCGGTACGATGCCTTGGTCGTAGGCAAGGATCGACGTCGAAGGACTCGCAAAGGGACCCCGGTCCGGTAGGGAAGCATGCCCGTGCCCGACTGAATTACGACGTACGTAGTAGTACGGTAGTAGGTACGTACTACGTACTACTATCTACCGTACGTACGTAGTATCTATCCACGATCGAGGTACCGGTACCTACCTAGTCGTCGAGGCAATCTCGACTTGACAAAACCACTCACCCGTTGGGGTATCCTTGCCTGAAAAACAAAAACAAACCACAACAACAAGTCAGATACCTATCCATGCACCGCATCCCCGACAAGCAGACGACCGACCGACAACCACTGGAAACCCAATTCGAACTGATCCCGCAGGCTGATTTGCAGAACGACTCGTCCTAGACTGACAGCAGCCCGATATCCATCGGGGACTTGATAGCGTCGGTAGCGACCGATGTATCTATCGCGGGGATGAGATGGAAAACGGGAGGAGAGCGCGTAGGTGTGCGTGCCCGAAGCTGTGGCTTGGCTACGAGTCCAGAAGGAGAGTAGTATTCAGGTTTTATCTCCTTCTAACGTTAATCCGTAGAATGAAAAGAGGGGAAAGAAAGAGGGGAAAGAGAGATGATGATTATGAAAAGAAAAGAAAGAAGAAAAGAAAAGAAAAGAAAAGAAAAAAAAAAGAAAAAAAAAAACCGAGGCTCAGTGACATACACTTGGTGCTGGTGTGGATCTGCAACAAGTCGGATGAGCTTGACATGGATTGGCGCAGCCTCCCTCCTCTGCGGAGTACAGTGTTGTAAATGCGGAGAAGGTGGGGAGCGGGGTCCCCAGCACAGGACAGGGCAAAGCTTATGGCTATCTATCGTTCAGCGATGCGATACGATGCGGCGAGGTACAACGAAGCCCTTCAAAGGTCCTCGACATGGGAAGTAGATACTGTAGAACTAAGAAGAGAGAGCCAGGCACCACGCCACCGACTATGGCGGAGTGCCACAGAACTTTAGCGTCAGCATAGGTGGGGTTCAACAGGCCCAGTGCCGGCGTCAACAACGCCTCGCTTATCAATACGATCGATGTCCTTGAAGATCCTCAACGAGAACTGCGAAGTACAACTCAATCGCACGTATAGGAGGCGGGTTTCCTCCGCGATCAACTTTCCCAAGTGCATGCTCCACCCACCCGCCCACCTTTGTGTCAAAATGTGGGTGGGAAAGGTGGTAGCTTAGCTAGCTGTCCTTCCTTAAACTTGCCATCGGAGAAGCCTCCTTCTGAATGTGCTCCTTCAATATATTCCAGAGGCATGCTATTGTTACGATTCTGACTTGACCAATGATAATTTCATGCCCGAGTAAACATAGCCACATGTGTGGTAGTGATTGATGAGTCGTCGAGACATGTGTATGAAGGCCGGCCGTGTATAAATCATCCCGGTAAGCGCTTCCAGGATACTGACGGTCTGTCAAACTCTCTCGAGGTCCATCGAACGCCCTGAGTTTAGTGACCAATCACCTAGAGGCGTATATGCACCAGATCTTGCTTCAGCCCATTGAGCGGTCCATGGTTTAGTGCCCCCTGTACGCGCACAACTAAAAAGTTCCGGGAAAGCCGGGGGACTTTCCATGTCGGAAAATTGTGAGCTTCGGAGTCTGGAATGGGAACCCGCTAGGTCTAGACCCTGGATCTCAACCTGGATGCTCTAGGTGATCGCACCCAAAAAATCCAGGTCGAAATTTGTATTGTGCCTGTCGACGAATACCCTGGATCTATGGAGTCGTTTTTATCGATTATTGGTTTCAAGCCAGGCAATGCCTTGGAATAATATACCCAGAATCATCACTTCAAGCATCGATCAAAAGGACGCTCAAATGTATCCACCCATCCGCATAACTGGCCTCCCTCATTAGATCCTCCAGCGGCGCTTTGAACGGCACAACAGCTCCATGCAGAATTGGCTCGGCCACAAGCGCATCTCTCCTACTGGGAAACAGACTGGGGAGAACTGAATTCAGCGCGCTACCCAGTGTCTGTGCCTCTCCATTGCTGGCCCGTGGCGGAACAAGCGTCTGCACGATCTTTATGCTGGCGAGAGGGGAAGAAGAGGTAGGGGATGCTGGGATATAGATCCGGAGAGGGATATTGCGCAGGGGAGTGGGGGGGTTGAGCAGGATGGAAGTGATTTTGAGGTGAGCTCCGAGGTCATCTGAAATAGTCAGTAGGTATTGTAGTCTGGTGAGCAAAAGAGGGAACCCACTGTCTTGCACCGAGTTCCATAGCGCAGTAGAATTCTCCTTGGACATGGACATAATACCCTTTGCTGTTCCATTGCGAATGAAATCCGCCTGGACTGCATCAGCATCCAGAATCGATTTCATGAAAGAACGAAAGTCTAACGAACCTCTTTTACGCTGTTGATGTATGTGTCATGAATATCAAACAGTGGTCCGTTCCCAAGTGTCAATCGCCACGGCAGTTCCGGCCGGTACAGGTCGCAGAGCAGGCCAATGGGTAGATTCTTCAGGAGGATGTCTTCGTAGGAGAATGAAGAGCAGGGCCCGAAGAAGAATGTCAGGCGCGGGAGAAGCAACGGTAGATAAGAGACTCGAGGTACGGATATCAGGTAGGGCGTCGGGGAGGAGGGGTGAGTGATGTAGAGGGGAATTGTGGAGGACCAGATTATGGATTGCATCCTGAGCTTGCGTAGATGAGGAGAGATGTCTGCGAGGCTGCGGTTTGACGATGATTGAAGAGAGGTGAGGCTGAAAGACCTCGGGGCCAAGGCTCGGCTATTTAGTGCCGAGCATGGACTCGTAGGTCTCCGGATGGTCTCTCCATCCATCCATCCACCTCGATGAGTTTCGAGTCATCAAGCACTTCACTTCTTGAACGGCACATTTTTCGATCAAGAAGATCAACAGTTCCTCAGGGGTAAGTTCATATTGGGCAGAAGTGACATTTGGCTCATGACTAAACCGAGAGAGTCTCGGGTAAATCTGCTCTGGTCCACAGGAGCTTCGGATGCGGAAACCATATCTCATCCATATCTTTGAAATTCGCGTTGACGGACGCTTCCAAGTACAAGACCAAGTAGGGAGATCACTCGCTCCCCATTTTCCTTATCTTAATCTCGTACATTTCAAAACATGAAAACCCGACGTCTATTCGCCGCTGGTGGGCTTCCGCTGGATCGGAGTCAGGAGACAGCACGGGGGACTCGGCCACGAGCTGATTCGTTTATAAGCCTTTCCATTTTGCTTGTCTATTCTGATTATCAGAAAGGAGCTGGTGTGGAGCTGGTGTTGGAGAACTGGTAGTGAGATCTGTCACCTGATCACGTGGCGTGCTGAGTATCATCTCGCGTCTACTGCTAGGCGGCAACACTCATAGCTGTCTTCATCGACGCCAGACTGGCTAAGGTCCATAGTGGTCTGGTAGGATTAGAGGGAGATCAGCAGCGCCTCGATCATGCGAGAACACAATTTGACTTATCTCCACTCCCATATAGATCACACCGATCGGGCATGACAAATCGATCCCAGAGTCCAAATCCTCCTATCGAAAACCAGCGACTACGCGAGGAGCGGCGAATGCAGATAAGTTGGGAACGCGTCGCTTCGCAACCTTACAATCAATTCCATGATCAGGTCCAAGACAAGAGGGAACGTAGCGCTAAACGGAATACACCTTGCACCCGTGGGGTCCCTCTTTTACACAGTTGCCTCCAGATCCTTCAAAAAGCGCTGGGTCGATCAAGGCATATGAAATAGTGAATGGAAAATTTGCTCTTGGGCGGTGAAGCACGAAGAGCCGCTTGAGATTGAGTCTGAAATGGAAACGGACTCGGAAACAGAACCAGCACCTCCCCAGTTTTATTTTTGCCCAAAACCGGAGCCAAAACTTAAGCCACCATGCAGCGATGACGAGAAGCGACAGATTGCGGAGCGACAGGTCGTACGGAAATGTAAACACAAGGCTTCACGTCCATATCATCAGTTCGTCTATCAGATATCGATAGAGCGCGAACGGATCCAAGAAGAACATGAGCATGAGGAATGCGCTAGTGCCCCTGATATCAGTACAAAGTCGTACGAGAACTTCAAGAACACATGGACCAGGCGAGGAATCTGGGACAAGAGATGGGATGTACTGCCTGGAATGTCGTGGAAGCATGAACGTCCTTTCGAGGAGATTGTTCGTGAGGAGATGGGCAACGATCCTACTCCAGCTACTCCACTCATGGACGGCAGTGATGAAGCACCTTCCATACGAATTTTCGGTTCTCATTCTCTCGCTCAATCAAATGAACGCCAGGTGCCTGGCGCCTCGAGTTCATCTCAACAAGGACCGCCCGTCGATATTGCTTCGGCAGGATCAGAGACTGGCACGGTCGGCAAACGCTCTCTCTCTGCGCCGAATTCACCTCCCCCCAGTTCGGGTTAACATTTTACTCGTCCTACGACTGGGCAAGCATTGCTGCCAAACAAGCGAAAGGCCTCTCACAAAGATGGGCCGTCGGAAAACGCATCTCCCTGCCTACTCTATCCATCAAAGGTTTCAAGTAGTAGTAGTAGTGGTGGTGGTGGTGGTAGCCGTAGTATTATTTACTAACTTCTAGTGGGTTATAGGTGTAGCAAGCGCGTACCGCGTTAGGACCTCCCGAAGGGTACGGAGACGCGCAAAGCGAAGGGTATATGACCAAAGGTTTCAAAAACCGCTGGAAAGAGAGAAGGGCCTAGATGAAAACTCACAGAAGGTACCCTCTGCTGGCCTGCAATAATCTTCTGATGTGGGTGAAAAAGGACCACCTCGTCTCTTTGCCTGACCATGTATCTCCACACAAAAGTACAATGATACTGACGCCTGTCCGTATCTGAAGACCTGAGCAGGACAGCATCTTCGAGTCCATCCAAGTAGGCAGTCGCAATAAAACTGAAATGGATCGTTGCAAGCAGTCTCACAGCAAGAAACTCGGCCAGACCTCAGGGTATATCGAAGAAACAAGCTGGAAAGTGGAAAGATTACACGAGGGAGGCAACGAAAAAGTGGATGACCAGATACCTAGGGCTTCAATCTTTGATACGCGCACATGACGTCCTCTAAAGTTTCGGGTCTGGAAGCTGCAGTTTACCTCTACTACACCTCATAGGACGGACAAGACATTCTTCCTGTAGTAGCGTTATCGTTTCATAAAGGGCGGAGAACACTTTCATGTACCGTTGCTATCAGGGACCATTCAGTTCCATGATTTTCAAAGGGAGTTGAGGAGCACAGATTATCTTAAAAAATAAAATATCAGACCATTCAATTCCAATTCCACTGCCGTATTCTCACTCCAGTTTCGACGCAGGTATCGCCTGTTCTTGTCCCCATCTTTCACCCACCTCCATAAAAGATAAATTAAACTGCAAGTAAAGTAAAAACCAAAAATCTCAAGAAATTATAGAATGTTGCTAGATACTATTCTACGAAGTGAGATATACCAAGCATATCGTCGGCGCCACCCCGCTACGAAACCCCCTCTGCCCGAACCAATGCCGATAAATTTTTCGAGCACCTTTATCAGTCAAGATATCGCGACGGTACTTCAACCAGTGGCGCAGGTACAATGGTGTACTTGTCAGGTCAATCTGGCGGGGGGATCAACAACTTGTAACGATTTGGGGCCGAGTGGTATAGACGCACCGAACCACACACGACAAGTACGGCGGAATACGATACGACAAAAGATGTAGGCACTCGATACCGGGCCGAACTTTTTGATGGTTTTTTTGTTTCTAATTTTTTTTTCTTCTTCAAAATTTTATAATTTTTCGTTTGCTACTTTTTTTTACACGAGTTGAAGTGGTCAGAGAGAGAGGATTAAGCAAAGATCATGATCATATTGATACTTACTTACTGCATACTCGCAATGCTTCCTTCTCTCTTCAGTTCTTATTTCGTTGGGTTCTTTTATAATCATGCAGCTACCAAGGGTTCTCTTGTTCCTCTTGTTTCAATGCCCAAAGGCCACCCTCTCATGGCCATCTAATCTAGTATCCTCTTATTGGCGTGATATCCTCAGAGACTTGCGTTTGTGAGAACGGCGTATGACTGACTGGCTACCTATCTTATTTGAAACAGTTACTGCCTGCCTATCTCTTACACCGTTCGTTCAGGAAAATACAAGTGACCAGACCGACCAGTAGTGGATGGGACAACAAACCTCGGAACAAGTTCTCGGTGACCTTTTCGACATATGGGTATAGATCCCTCTGGTTATTTTAGGAGTGGGTGTTCCTTTCCGCTACGCCAGTTCACTCGCTGTATACATCTATATCTGTATAGTAAGATATATTATATATATATATATATATATATACCCCAAGGTGTTCTCCGCCTCTGCCCTCCTCCTCGCTCTCGGCCTCGGGACAAGACTCATCTCAGCCGATACCCCGATTGATAACTCGGTGTTTGTCAACGACCCTCTCGCAACCGTTCAAGCCGCAGCTCCTCTTTGGCATTTCGACGTCAAGACCTGTTTCCCCACCGCCACCACCCAGGCTGACGGCAGCCAGACTCACAACCTGACCAACGACGTCTGTGATCTCTTCCACAAGGTTTCGAATGCAGGCTGTCCCGTGCAAGCACCGCAGACTCAGCGAGAACAGCTTTCCACCTCGTTCTCGACGTACTACACAATCAGGAAGTGTGATAAAGAAGCGAGTTGGGGGATCGTCTGTGATGTTTTCTTCCAGAAGGTAGAGTCTAGAGATTGTTTGTGTTTTCTTCTTCTTCTTGAAATTGGGGAGGTCAGGGCGGACGGCTGACGGCTGACGGATGAGTTACTGCAGGACACGGGACACCCATATGACTGAGAATGGGCCGCGCTGAAGTTCGTCCAGAACGCCCAGGGGAAATACGTACGAGAAGGGATCTACTTCGAGCGTGACGGGAACCACCCAGACGTAACCTGGGACAGCATCCCAAACGCATTCAACAAGTCAGTCCTCCTCATTCCCCTGCCTGCCCCTTCCTCCCCCTCCCCCTCCTCCCTCTCATCCACTTCCCCCTCCTTCTCTTCCAACCCCCACGACATAGCCACCCACCCCCCAAGACCATGCTGAATTTGAAATTTGCCGGCTGATAAAAGCGCCACCGACAAGTTCCAAAACCAGAACCCGAACCGCGACCACCCGAATGTCTACTTCGGCAAGTGGAAGCACAACCTCGCCGTCGTCTTCGACGACGACTTCGCCAACGACTGCCTCGGCGCCATCCTCAAGAAGAGGGACTACCACAGCGACAATTACCAGTTCTCCGCCGCTGAAAACCTGCGTGCGGATACGACCGTACCTGGTAGGTCCCCCTCTTCTCCTCTCTTGCCCTGCTTTTCGTCCCAGGGAAGCTGGATATGTATATGCATATAGGTATATATATATGTATATGTAGAAGTACAAGGATTTTCCAGAATGGGACTCTCGTGTATGTGTTTGTGTGTGTGTTTGTGTGAGTGTTCATGTGTGCAGCTTTTGAGAAATTGCTCGAGCGAATTGCCGACGAGAGAGGGGGATGGTGCCGCAGCGAGCTATACGTACAGTACGGGAACGCGCACTCGACACCGCAGTCCTTCGAGGCCGGCGGCGGGAACGATATCTGCGGGAGTACAGTCTGTGTAGGGGGACTGTGGACATGCCTAGATGAGACGGCTTAGATGGGAGAGTGGGGTGGGGGTGCCGAGGACTTCAGCATAAGCGAGGAGGAGGAGCCTTTGAGAGTGAGTGAGTGAGGCAGGGACGGACTCATTGGCCGTGACAACTTCGTGGATACTGACTCATGGAGATGAACAATGAACAATGGACATGAATATGCTACCGCTAGTTACGGACCCCTCGATTGAAATCGAAATCCCCCCCCCCCCCCCCCCCCAAAAAAAAACCCACAGCCCTGTGTGCCAAAGCAGAGGGAAGGGGGTCATCCTTAAGCGAGAGGCTTCCGGGGCGGGATGTATCGAATAAGTACGTACCTATAATCTGAAATGAGTGCAATGGAGCTCGCATGACAGCCCCTAAGACAAGAAGAAGATAAGCCAGGGAAGAAGTAAAAAAGTAGTCAAATTGCGCATACCAAACTTGCCAAGGTCAGTGAAGTATCAAAAAACCAACCATCGAATTCCGCGAGGGAGTTGTAAATAGTAGATAGATCTTGTTATTCATTTTCATCAGCTTTTGTTCAAATATACAAATGGTATAATACAACCCCCTCCTCCTCCTCTACTTCGCCAAAAACTTCTGAAAGGCCTTGTGATCAATCGTGATATTCCCCACCGCCTTCAACTTCTTCCGCCCCTCCTTCTGCTTCTGCAGTAGCTTGTTCTTCCGCCCGGCATCGGCCGCGTGCAGCTTCGCCAACACGTCTTTCCGGAACGGCTTGATCGTCTCGCGCGCCACGATCCGCTTGCCGACTGCCGCTTGGATGATGACCTCGAACATCTGCCGGTCGACGTGCTCCTTGAATTTCTTGACCCAGAGCCGACCCAGCCTTTCGACCTGCGAGGTGTGCAGGACGCGTGCGACGGCATCGACGGGTTCCTTGTTAACCAGGAGCTGCATCTTAACAATGTTGCTACGGCGGAAGCCTGCGTCCTCGTAGTCGAGACTTGCGTATCCCTTAGTGGCACCCTTTAGCTTGCCAAAGAAGTCGTCTACGAGTTGTGCGAGCGGTATGTCATATTTGAGAATTACTTGCGTGGCAGTAAAGAAGTCAAGCCCTTTCTGCTCGCCACGGTTTGCTTCGCAGAGCTCGATGACTTTCCCGAGATATTCTTCTGGGAGGGTGATGGTGGCTGAGACGTAGGGTTCTTGGAGTTCCGAGATTTGGTTGCGCATGGAATCGGTTTCGGGGAAATGAAAGGGCGATTGGATTATTTCGTCGCGGCCGTCAGCCCAGATTATGCGGAAGGGTACGTTGGGGGGTGTGATGATGATACTGGCGCCGTGTTCTTGACGCAGGCGGTCTTCGAAAACGGAGCAGTGGAGTGTTCCTAAAAATCCCAGTCTCCAGCCTGCTCCAAGTGCCTCGGAGGACTCCTTGTGAAGAGTGACACTTCTGTCGTTCAAGATGATCTGGTTGATCGAGTCCTCCAAATGTGCATGATCGCTCTGATCGACTGGAAAAGCCGAGACGAATACCATTGACTTCGGCTCCTCGAATCCTGGGTACATCTCCACTAGATGTTCTGAACCGACAGTTGTGAAAGTGTCTCCACTCAGAGCATCCTGACTCTTCTTCATGCCAGGATTAAAGTAGATGTACCCCACCTGCCCAGCACGTATAGAGCTCTGAGGCGTCTGATGCGGATACATAATCCCGACCTCCCCAACAAAATACTTCAGACCTGTAGCAAATGACACCACGTGGTCCCCAGCTTTGACTGTCCCGTCAAATATCCTCACCAGCAAGATCACACCTTTGTAATTATCATACCACGAGTCCACTAGCAGCAGCCTCAGAGGCTTCTTATGGTCCCCCTCCGGACACGGAATCTGCTTGATAACACTTGGAAGGATACTCGCAACGTTCAGTCCCGTCTTCGCCGAGACCAGCACCGCATTCTCCGGCTTTAACTCGAACGCCGTCTCCATCTGCTCCAGCGCCCTCGGCGCATCCGCCGACGGCAAGTCCACTTTGTTGATGACCGGTACCAGCGTCAGGCCCTGCGAGAACGCCAGGTAGAAGTTTGCCACGGTCTGCGCCTGCACGCCCTGGCTGGCATCGACCAGCAGCAGCGCTCCCCCGCAACTCGCATAAGAGCGCGAGACCTCTGCCCGGAAGTCCACATGTCCGGGCGTGTCCACTAGATGCAGGAGGTAGTCCTCCCCTTCGTGATTGTATATCATGCTGCAAGTCTGCGCCTTGACAGTGATGCCTCGTTCGCGCTCCACGTCCAGCTTGTCCAAGATCTGCTTGTTGCCACCCGGAGCAATGGTGCCTGTGATCTCAAGCAGGCGGTCGCTAAGCGTGGACTTGCCATGGTCGACGTGGGCTACGATGCAGAAATTGCGAAAGCGGGATATGGGAATAGCCTGGATGCGACGTTCGAGGTCTGTCACCGGCTTTGCAGCTTGGGCAGCGCAGCGTGCTACGGTTGTTTTGAACCCTCGCTGGGTTTGCTGGAGGATTTGAGAGGCATAATGGGTACGGAGGGAGCTAGGGAGCCGGAGGAGTTGCAATGGACATCGCTGCATTTGCCCGTTTCGTACGTTGTGGAATGGGTGAGGTTGTAGTTGAAGATTTCCCTGTCGCCTATCCGTAAGCTAGGTACGCTATACCTGAAGCACATGAGGCTCAAGGACTTTTTGCTGCAAGCTGCATGGACGTGGGGCTTCCCGCATGGTCTGTCACCCCAGCAACAGCGCAATCAATATTAACTAAGTATTGTCAGTTCCGCGACGACGGCATGGACAGTTGCGCAAAGTGCCCAAGTCAAATTCCTCAATCAGAACACGCAAAATGTCGGCCCCAGCGGAAAAAGAGAAGGCGAAGACGCACAAGCTGTCATTAAAGGGTTTGACTATCCGCTCCATAGGTCAAGGGCATCTCTAACAGCTACAGGATCATCGAAACTGGTCGCGGAATTCGTAAGTCGCAGCGGTGCCACAACCCGAGGAAGAGTATAAAATTGACATTTGGAAGTTCAATTACTCCATAAACACCATTCTGTGCGTTTTTCAGCCCTCAAGTTCTCGGGTTGGACAATAGACTGATAGAAATATAGCTTTCAAAGAGGCGTCTACCCCGCCGAAGACTTCAACCCGTTCGTCTGCTCCTCACCCTCCACATCCAGCAGGTACCTAATGTAATACGTCTGTAGAGTCAAAAAGTATGGTCTCACGATGCTCGTATCTTCCGACGACCAGGTCAAAGCCTACATTAAGAAGATCATGTCCCAGCTCGACAAATGGATGATCGGCGGCAAGATCTCCAAGCTGGTCGTGGTCATCACCAGCAAGGACACCGGCGAGCACGTAGAGCGGTGGCAGTTTGACGTGCGCCCCTCTTCTCCTCTTCGTATACACTTACCTACCATTCATCGCAAACCAAAACGCACATGGAGGAAACTCTCAAGCTGACGATGAGTTAAACAAACAGGTTGAGATCCTCAAAAAATCCTCCTCCTCCAAAAAACCTTCCTCTTCCACCTCTAAAGCCGCATCTACCGACAAAGAAAACGCCGGTCCCTCAACCTCCTCCTCCTCATCATCCACTACCCCCACAGCAGCGCCCACAGAGGCCGAGATCCAGGCCTCGATCCAGGCCATCTTCCGACAGATCACCGCATCCGTCACCTTCCTGCCGCAGCTGGACGGCGAGTGCACGTTCAACGTTTTGGTGTACGCGGATGCCGACAGCGAGGTGCCGATGGAATGGGGCGACAGCGACGCGAAGGAGGTGCCGGGCGGCGAGAAGGTGCAGCTGCGGAGCTTCAGCACGAGCAACCACCGCGTCGAGACGATGGTCAGCTACAAGGTTCGGAATGATGACATGTAATTGCACGCATACGATATGCGGATGAGAAGGGCGGGATGGGATGAGATGGGATACGACTGGGGGGAGGGGGACTTCTCTCGTGTGTATGTGTGTTTGTATGTTGAGTTACGATTAGGCGAGCTCACTTGCCCTGGCTGCGTTGATACCTACGATATGACATGATACAATACTAGGATGGGCGGTCTGGTGTTCTGGCGTTCTCCTCTCGAGGCCTAGTCGTATGGATAGACGCTTATACACATGCGTGGCTTTTCCTGGCGTATTGAGGAATCTAATGACCAACCATCTCATTCAGTGCATCTCTTCTCTCTATCTGATAACTAGGTTACCGCTTCCCTGAGATCTCATAAATTTCCAACTCCAATCCGAAGCGCGCCTAGCGGTTAGTAGCTTCACTCAATTAATCCGACGACGACGACAAGCTCACTCAAACCAGATCTAATGATAGTGAGTGGTGGGTAGTGTTTACTAACACATTTCTCATCCGTTCATAATTACATGCATACATAGATACATATACACAGACAATTACACCAGTCTTACATATATGCCTCCCTAGCTCTCCTCTTTCACCCAAACTCGCTTGCTCACAAGCCTCTTCATCTATCATACACTCCCTGAGGTCAGATAGTTTTGATAGGAGGGTCATTCCTAGACCGCAGCCCCCCCCCACCCCCCTAGGTCCCACCCTTCGTTTTGGGAAATCACCGCCAGTCATAGAACACCTGCCCCCCTCTAACACCCTTCATCCTGATCCGCACCTTTAGCGCCCTCCCATCCAAGAGCTCCTCGAGTCCCCACTCCTTATACGCTTTCTCTTTCTTTCCTTCGCCCTCCCGTTCGGCATGCTCATTCCCATTCCTACTCTTCCACTCATCATCCATCCTTAGCGCCGAAACCAGGATCTCATGGAACGGTCGTACTGGCTCCCACTCCTTGTGCATCCCCAGGTCTGCGTAGAAGTATTCCTTGAGAATGGGTACTTTGTATTGCGGCAGGCGTTTTCCGATGCGGGAGGGGCCCCAAGGCTCAAGAATCTGCGGGAGTTTGCGATTCTCGAGGTGTTGGGTCCATGAGGGGAGGTTGTGGCATTCTAGCGGGCGGTAATATGAGACGTCTGTGTCGGTGGACTCTGCATCCTGAGGAGGGTCCGCAGGCGCGAGGCCGAGCATATCGGGAGTGGTAACGGCGTCTCCCTGCACATCTGTACTATCCTCCGATACAGACTCTGCAGATCCCTCTGTAACATTTCCTTCGTGCCCAGACGACAAAGCTGGCTCTTCGTCTGGAAACCGGTCCATCCTCGTCTCCGCATAATCCGACAAAATAGCCTCCTTCCCCTCCGTGACCTGAAAAATAAACGCATGATCTGGCGCTCTGGAAGGATGCTCCGAGAGATCATTGAGACCAGTAATTACCGGCCCAGCGTACTTTTTCCACCTCGCCTTCAGCGTTTTCGGCTTCTCGACACCGTTGGATTCGATCATACTTTGAAACACGCGATGGCGCATGCGTAGGGTCGTCGCTGCTGACAAGCACGCGTATCGCCAGACTACCTTAGCAACGTTATAGCTGTGTGCCCGCCACGCCAGATCGAACATGATGCGGTATGTTTCCTGGTTCGGCACCCACATGTTGTTCTTTGGGAGACTGCGCAGCAGCTCGACAGCGCCGGTCAGGTTTGTCGATTGCTTGCAGTAGACCAGAATCCTGTCGATCGAGTTCTTATCGGATACTACAGAGCGAGAGTCCATTAGGTGGAGCAGCTCCCAGCAGCGAGATATCAGCCCGTGAGCTCCCAGCGACCGCATGATGTGGTTGGCGGTGCTGGCGGTCAGCCAATTGTCGCCGTACCGGGAATCCATGTGAGCAATGAACTCGGCTTGGCTCTGGTTTCGGTCAAGAGAGGACTCGATTTCAGGGTGCGCGAGCTCCTGAATTACATTTAGCCGGACGTCGGGGTGGTTGAGAAGACCTTTGTTTTTCATGGCGGCTAGGATATGCATTTTTATGTTGACGTCGTCGAAGGCTTTCATGAAGAGGATCCAGGTTTGACCATTGGGCTCAATGCCCCGATGTAACATCAAATAGAGAATGAAGTGGAAGTTGTGGATGTCGTTCAGCTTTGCCGCCCCTGACAACATGATGTTGAACGTCTCGGGGACCATCTGCATCTTCATGACTTCCATCCTTACAAACATAACCCGGGCGTCCAGGATTCGGTTGTGGCGCACAAAATACCCGAGGGCCAGATGGCAAGCTTGTCGGGTTATTGCAGACCGCATTTCTGGTTCCCTAAACAGTTCGCGAAGAAGCCTCAAGACTACCTCACTATGGACATCTGGCAATCCGAGGCCGAATCGCCTGAAGTGACTTGGCACGTGAGACTTTGTCAAAGCTTGTACATAATTCAGAAATGAGAGTTGGGTCCATTGTTTTGGTCTCGGTATGTGTTCTGGTAGTACTTGCAGTCGACTTTCCTTACGGCGCGCCATGACATATCGCATTTCCGCCTCGTTTTTGTATACTCTAAAATTCGACTGTTTCGTGTCGGCATCCATCGAATTGTCTGCCTGATCAGTCAAGCCTTTGGGAGTTGCATAAATCTTGACATCAGGCGTGATACGCAGTATGTCTGCCGTGCACTTGCTAATGGCGGTCGCTGGGCCAGAAATAACAAAACGTGTAAACTCGTGCGTTGTATCGCTCCGACCTGCCAGTTGCATTTGACATCCATATTTGTCACCAATCTCTTGGTAGTAATCATCAATCCCATGCATTATTCTGGGAGCAAAATTTGGGGGGATCTCAAATATGAGAGCATTGGACAACCATTTCCCTTGCTGTGGTGTGTGCTTCACCAGGTCCTCCAGAATTATTCGCCAATCCGGGATCCTAGTTGCCTTACTTTCTCTCTTATATTCCTGGTACGTTTTCCTTGAATATTTGGCCGACAGTTTCGCGATCTCTTTGTTTTGCTGCAGGGAGATGACTTTTTGCACAACATTTCGAGTTGAGCTCGCCGTACCCGTTCCATCTGTACTTAGGTCCTTCTGGTGGGTGTTCCGCTCTTTCTTTAGAGCAGCTATGCAATCGTCGGTGGCGATGTACGGAGGGCGCTCCTTCGGGGTCAATTGCTGAACCATTAGGGGGCTATCGCGGGACACATTTCCTTTTGGGCGGTCGAATCGCTGGAACAACGCGGCTGGATCGTCACCCACGGTAGCAGGATAATCTGGTATAGGTGGCTTGGACTTGAAGGCCTGGGCGTCTGGTTCTGAAGGAGCATCTCGTCGAGCTCGAGCGGGCGTTGACGAGGCTGTCGAAGAATTCCTGAGCCATGGAGGGTAGAGGAACGATAAGGGTTCCCTGGGAGTCGAGGCGAGACTTGCGAAGTCCGCGACCCTGGCCCGTTTTGCGATTCGACTTCCCAGGGACATTCGCTATAATATTGACATCCTCCGTGCGTGACGTTGTCTTGTTGTTGATCTTTCAAGATGTCCGAGAGGCTCAACTCAATTTTTTTTGGAAGCAACTTTGTCAGAAGCCTTGGCATGTTCGGATCCACTTTTATCCTTGGCCATTGGCGACGTGAAGCGTTGACCCGAACAAGTCTTTTTTAATAGATAAATAATACTAGGAGACTACACTTGAGTGTACCATGACCAGGCTATCCACCTGCCAATACAGCAAGTAACCCTGAAATCTGGGGTTTATAAACCTATTCCTTAGCCTTGCCTCTCCCCTTCGCCATCCCATCTGCTTTCCCTTCTGAAAGCTTCCTCCCAAGCCCATCAAGGATGGCCGTTCCGTTCCCTTCGCCACGCTTGCAATTAGCTGTCCCAGGTAACTTCTTTTCCGAAATAACGTCTCTCGGCCCACTCGAGTCGATACCAGCCCATCTGTGATCCCAACCCTGTCTATCATCCACTGCTCCCCTTGTCAAACCCTTCTCAGCCATGTCCTTGACATCGCTCCAGAACTCCAGCCTCTGGACTTCTTCGTCGGCATGCTTGACGGCAGCCTCCAGATTTTCTAGTCTTCGTTTCCGAACAGAGTCGCCCTCCGCTTCGCTACTCTCGTTCTCCTCGGAAGCTTTATTGAAATCGCTGAGTAGGTTGCTCAAGAGCAGACGACGTGATGCTTGGAAGATAAACATGCCCATGATGTCGTGCATGTGGTCTCTCAGGTAATAGAGATCGTCACCACCATGCTTGATGAAGCTCTCTACAGCTTCTGTCCTCTCTCGATCTATCCGAGCCAGTTTCAAGGCTTTCATGAGCGACCCAATGTCCTGTATGTTCTGAAAGTCGATTCCCTCGTCCAGTTCCCACTTTGACAGCGTCGCTGTACTGTAGCGGTTCGTTTGACTTTCGGCCCCAGTTGATGCCCGGCTTCGGCTTCGAGCATCGGTAGGATGTATAGTAAAGTAATCCGAATTGAGCATATGTCCTTGGTTGGGCAAGTATGCCGTGTGCTTCTTCACACGTTGCCGTATCCAAGCCCTCCGACGAACGAACGAGTTCCACCATGACTTCTTGTGCCAGGAGAACTTTTTGGAAAACATGAACGAGTACTCCCATCCGTCTTCATCGACACCATCCTCAAGATTGATATGCCACTCTGGCCATGCCCATTCCCACGAAGGATCTGGCACCTGCGCATTAGTGATGTTGGTAGCACTGGTTTTTTGGGCACTGTTGGTCCACGGAGAAGGATCCGCGTTGCCAAGAGCCCTGGATGAGAAGAGAGGCATGCCACACAGGAAGCCTCCCCGCTGATTCTCATAGAGAATATCTATCGCAGATTGAGGTTCTTTGGGGCTCGTCTTGCTCTTGCCACCACTCCCACCGTTCGCAGGCCGACCCCTCTGATCCTGTTCCCCATCTACTGCCTGCTCGTCAGTCCCCTCTGTTGGGCCGCCGCCTGCAGACTCCTCATCGTCAGATCCTTGGTCCCCCAGCCTGCGATCCTGGTACTTGGAGTACTTCCTCTTGGTGATCTCCTGACGCAATCGCTGTGAAGTTGAATGTTTCCGCAGAGGGACATCGCTGTGCCTCCGAGAAGAAGAACCGGATACATTTGGCGACAGAGGCCGCTCACCCGCGGAGCGCGCGGAGCGGCTCCGCGCGACCTCTGGACTCGCTGACCTCGTGTGATCGACGAGGTTGATCTCGTGGTCGTAGTCGGTACTCTTCAAGGGCGCGGGTCGGCGTGTTGACGAGCGTAGGAGAAACATCTCCTCTCAGCGACACATCATCCTGGAATCTGCAGATGGCGGGGTAGGTCTGCCAACGGTTAACTGAACTTGATGATTTCGCAGGAGTCGATAAATAGCTTCGGCACCAAGAGATGGAAGCAATTCTCTGGTAAGAATGGAATGGTAAAATTAAATACAGATGTGTGTATGCCTGTGTGTATGCCTGTGTGTACGCCTGTGTGTATGTATGCGTCGTCGTACTTCCCTCGTCGGGAGCAGGGGCCGGATCCGACCCCAGACCGGGCGACTCGAGTAGGTAGATGCAACTAGTACGAACTCAGCTCGCCTCAAATCTGAGCTCCCGTCAGCCTTATCGCTGGTCTCATCAGATGCGTTTTCTTTCCATTTTTATCCATGACCGTGACCGTGACTGGAACGTGACCATGACCATGACCATGACCATGACGTAGATGAGCCAAGAGATGATCGGCCAACCTTGAATCCTCTCAAGAAGTAGCCAAGCACGCTTAATCCAGGTAGCACGTCACGGGTCGGTCCCTGATCCAAGCTTCCAAACTCCCAGCTGCAAACTCCAGACTCCATGACGTGACGTGCCGTGCCGTGGGGTCGGTCGTCTTCTCGCCCCGGCCCTAGTGCAACAATAGAATGGCCGGGTCCGATGTCTCTTCATCTCTCTCCCTCGTCCAGCTTAAGCTTCCCTTTCCTTCACACGACCATCTGAACTCTTGAAAATCTCCCGACTCCAACCCATTTCCAAACAGAAACAGAAACAGAAACAGCATCAAAATCAAAATCGAAATCAAAAACTAAAACACAAAACAAAAACAATGGCCCAACCAAAGTCCAGAGTGCCGTTGTTCGCCGGCCTGGTCGCTGCGGGAGGTGTTGGCTACTACCTCTACAAAGCCGGCGGCAACCCCAAGGTCGCAGAGAAGCAGGTCGAGGGCATGTTACACCCACTATCAGATCGTACAGATCAAATACTTTCGAGCTACCAAGCTGACCCTGTACAGCCGATCTCTCCCGCGCCAGCGCGAAGATCAAGTCTGAGATCCCCGGTCGCGCCCATGAGGCGCAGAAGGAGGGCGAGAAGTGGGCATCCCAAGCTGGAGCAAAGCTTGACTCTGCTGTACGTACTTTCTCTGCTTCTCCTTCATATGTTTCTTTTTTCTTTGTGACGATGCCCACCACTATCATCCATTAGCCAAGCAGCGCTAATCCTCGCGTCCACAGGTCGAGAAGAGCAAGGCGGAGCTGTCCAAGGCCGAAGGGAAATTCGAGGCCTACCGGAAGGACCTCGGCGCTGAGGCCATGAAGAAGATCGATGCCGCGGATGCAAAAATCGAGCAGGAGGCTGCGAAGGCTAAGAGCGGTATCTCGAGCTGGTTTGGAGGAAAGTAATTGCTTGTGTCGAGTCGGGAGATACCTTGTAGTGGTGTGGCTGTGTAGGTGGATAGGAGGATTAATGATATGATGTCTGCGATGGGCTTTGAGGTTGATACCACCAATAATCACTAGTGAACTTGTGTAATGCCAGCCTGTTGCTACTCTTCTCTTTCTACTGTCTGTCTATTGGCCATCGGTGTGTTGAGCTGATGAATACCTGCGGTCTGCCATTGCTATGATACTACCAGATCACACGCTATCTGCATTTTTATATCAAAAATAGAGATGAGATTGGTTAATATTCCCTAATATTTTTACGCTGTTTGGCTATTATATGCTAATCTTTGTTCGGAGGGACTTTTCAAATTCGACCGAATTTCGATAATCAATATTTAGATATTCTATTATATTGCCGCAAAACATATATATATCATATGCATTACAGATATCTTTATTCAAATTCACGCTATATTTTCTCTGCCCGACATCTATCTCATCTCCTTCCTAACAAGTCCCTCCATCAATCAGAAGCTTCGAATTTCCTTACGCAGTTCCCGTAACGCAATCCAAGAATCAAGCATCTTTTCTCTTTCTATCTCATACAATTTCATCCCATCCCATCTCATCACTTGCATGACTATACCTGACCTGACCTGACCTGACTTCATTCACGCACTTGCTATACACAACTCGACGCCATCCAGGAACTAAACCAAGCCAGACCAAGCCAGACCAGACCAAACCATACCACAAACTACAACACTAATAAAACAAAGTAAAAGTACATTAAATCAAATACAACACCACTCCCTCAACCGACAGCATTCTCCCATCCTTCACTCATACTGCTCTCTCAGACCCTGATAGCATTTAAGCGTGGACCCGGGCTAGCCTATCTACATCCCGATGATCGATTACATACGGGTAAAAGAAACCTCTAGCTCTCGCTTCTTTCGCTTCTCTAGCTTCCATACCGGCACAGACAGGCAGAGCTCAATTATCAATTCGTTCAACGCGACCCCTCGCTTCGCTTCGCTTAAGCTATCGGTACACTTCCCCTTCAACTCTCGGTCCCTCCCTCCCTCCTTCCAATCGCGGCCAATCCAGTACCAGGCAGACAGACAGACAGACAGACAGACGGCAACAACTCGCGTCAGCATCTCGATGAAAAAAGAGCTGTGGTCTCCAGCTTTCCCCTTCGTCCCTCACTACTTATTACCATTGTTCTTCAGGGATCAAGGAGGTAGGTAAACAAGCGAGCAAAAGACCCGAGACCCCAGCCACGAAGCTCCGAAACTTCAAAAGCAATATTCTCAGACTAGATGTTCTACCATGTAGCCGAACAATCTAATCTCTTGAGTCGGGGGCCTTTCAACAGAATGGGTATGTATATTCTTGACTAAAGGTTTTAGTCGAATGGTCTTGTATATCCCTAGAGAGGCAGAGATATATAATGAGTTTGGTTTCTCCCGCTATAAATACACGGACGAGAAGCAAAGTAGGTGATCGGAAGGCCGAACCAAAGGATCGTAACTAGAGTACTATTGACAATTCTACAGGTATTTTCCCAACCCCGTCTTGTTCCGTCCCATCCAATCCTATGCCCATGCCCATGCCCGTGCCCATCCCATGTCCATACCCATCCATCCAGTCAAACGCCTGTGTACGACCCGCTCGCTAGGTTCAATATTCAAACACATCAATCAAGCACTGTTCTCGTTTCACCTCACCTGCCAAGATATCTCATGGCGAGTAGAACGTCTGGTTTGCAGGCACCGGTCTCCTCCCCACCCTCCCATTCCCAACACTAGAGTACGTCGGCGAGGGACTGGCATACCCCACCGCACCGACAGCCCCGTCTGATTGATGCGACGTCACCGGCGAGATGTGATGGGGCGGCGACGGCGGGTACGCGTTATGCGGGCTATCCCCAACCTCCTGCACGACATTCGGCTTCGGGTCGGCTGGGTGCAGCTGTAAGCTGTGGCCCGAGAGCTCGGCTGGCGGTGAGTTGGCCGCGAGCTGGTAGTGCTGGGTCACTGGCTCATGCCCGTAGTCGGAGTATGGAGTTTGCGGAGTGTGAGGTGAGAATGGAGAGTGAGAGTAGCCAGGGGCGGAATTGTAGGCTACTTCAGCTGCTGGGGGAGGTGCGTTCTTGCGTCTGTGGCGGCGGACGAAGCAGCAGCCTGCGGTTAAGAGGGCGAGGAGAAGGATGACACCTCCGACGGCAATTCCTACGATGGCGCCGGTGGGGAGCTTCTGGGCTGTTGTGCTGGGAGAAGCGGAACTGGTTGCGCCTGGAATCGTCCGGGTAGGCGTGCGGACGGCGAACGAGGCTTTCTGGGCGAAGTAGACGCTGAGATCGCCATTTTCGTATCCAGCTGCTGGAGCCGTGGCTGTTGCGCCCCCTAAAGATCTGTCACACGTTAGTATAAGTACGAAGCGGAGATTCATTGGACTTACGAGCCTCCAACCACCGCAATGACTTCAGGAGGAACGACGTAGGAGCTAAGGTTGGCATTGTAGTCATTCCACTGGCGGCCCGATACCTTCCCAAGGTCTACATTGTGAGTTCCCCAGGTGGTTGGGGAATCGCACTTGTCGCTCAGAGGGAATGAGCCTCCAATTATGAGCATCTGGCCGCCCACAACATTGCACGATAGTGAGTGATGTGGTACACCGCCATCACTGCCCGTCCACCATTTGATCCACGTGAAAGTGGGCATGCTCAAAATATACAGATCATCGAATCCACTTATGTTTTGGCCAAAGCCTATACCCCCATACAAATAACTGGTCTAGTTAGTAGGGTATAAATGAAATTGGGAGAATACTTACATGTTATATGACGACTGGTCCGGTGCCCACACAGCCCCAGCACAAAACTTCCTCCGCGACAGAGGAGCATCCCCAACCGCGTGCTGCGTGTACCACTTTGAACTGCGAATATCGTAGATGTGAATTAAAGACATGGGAGCTGGGATCGCAGTATTGTTATTGAACGGTGCCGTAACACCCCCAAAATAGACCAAAAGTCCATCATCACTTGCCGGGACGTACACCATCACGCCTTCAGCCCTGGGGACCGAATCTGTTGGACCAGTATTATTCGTCCAGTCATTATTATTCATGTCGTACTTGATCAGAGAGTTTGAAGCCAAGGGTCCGCCGTACCAGCCCGGCACTGAATTATTGCTCATCCATCCACCAAGCATAAAACCTTGGCCGAGGGCCGGGACCGCTACGCCACCTCCGTAAGACACACTGCTGACAGCCCTGTCTGGTGGACCAAATGAATCCCATTTGTCTCCGAGAATATCATATGCGAGCAGGTTGGGCGAATTTGGCGAAATGTCTTGGTAGTCTCCGCCATACAAGTACAATCTCTTGTTGACATCATCTTGCCAGAGAATTCCACCACTGACGTCCGGAACTGTAAAGTTCTTGGTGAGATTCGCGTAGAGCTGGGGGGCTTCGATACCAGATGGGCTACTGTTGAGGTCTTGGAAGAGTAGCTCGGTGTCTGAGGTGAGAGGTATCAGTAATGTTAACGATGTTCAAGTCTAAATGGTATGAGTATGTGAAGACCTATAGCGTTCACACTTACTGGTGTAATTTCTAGGATTCTGTGCAATCGGATTCCAATTTAACAGACCTCCGTCAATATACAGCTTCCTGTCTACAACCGCAGTCTGGTGTCCGAAACGTCGACAGAAGTCCCTCAAAGGGTCTTTCTGCTGAAGAGACAGGCTCACAACCAGCAGGAGGAGACATAGTATGCTGAACATCCTGCCAGCTCGTGCCCGAAATCAGATGAGGTCTTGCCGTCGCCCGCCGACCGGCAAAGTCGCGGTGATAGCCACCAATGATCAACGAAAGTCGGTGATCATCTGCAAAATCTCGCCCAATTGCCTTATGCTATGCTCTCCAGAATCACTTGATCTTCGAAGAGCTTTGGAGGCAAAATAGAATCGTCGCGATCGAGTGCCGAACGAATGTAGATAAAACAGCAAAAGGCAGAATACGAGATCGAGGTCAAGGTGGCGAGAAAGAAGAAGGAGAAAGTGCAGGACACGGGACTGGGACATTGTCTCTTCTCTTGGTAACACCAGTGCCGGAACGGTGGGCTGACGCAGGCTGAGTGAGGTCCATCACTTCCGAGTCTCCAGCTCGATGGTGGCAGGCCTCACTCACTCACTCACTCACTCGCCCACACCATCGTGGCTGACCATGAACATGCCACAGCGAGCACTGGACAGGATGGTATAACCGAGTATGCGGTGCAATGCGAGGGCACCAATGGAGCATCAGAGCTGATGGTGCAGCTGAAGGATCGCTGCATGAAGGAAGGAAACCGTGAAACCCATCCATCAGCTGGGCAGAGAGAAGAAATGCTTCGTGCAATAGACGCGTCTCCGTAGTGGATTCTCCTGTGTCCCTATTGTACTCAATACAAATACCTACGAGAAACGTCCATTGGACCATGGGACCGACTCACCGGGAGAGACTGAGGAGATGTCGATTCCAAGGAAGAGAAGAGAGAGGATCAGCACCGCAGACTGTCTGTTGCGAACGATGAAGCCCGAGACAAATATCTGATCACAACGGCGGTTTTTGGTGTATCTCGTGTGTGGTGGTGGAAGGCAGCCGAGTCGGCGAAATAAGTAGAATTGCAGCATATTTCGTAGTAGTACATGAGTTTTAGTACACAATTGACGAGCCACCCCCGTAGTCAGACTCCGATAGGTGACGAGGCGGAGATAGGTAGAGGGAGGGGGGGACAAGGGAAGAAAGGGGAGCTGAAGAGCATCTTTTGCTACTTATTTGCTTACTAATCTCAGTCTTCGAGGACGGTTCAGAGTTCGAAGACGGCCGCCAAGGTAAATTGACTTACGGAAGGTTCAAATCGAGGAAATTAACGCGGAGGATTTTGAGATAAAAATCAGAGCAAGAAGAAATACATATTTTCTTATTTAACCGTATTCGAAATTTCTACATCGGCTGTAGGTAATTGTACAGCTAACAAAAATCAGTGCGCTGGTTGTTAATGGTCAGCTCGCAGGAAGCAGGCAGCGCACTGACTATTATATTTGTCTTTTTATTTTCAGATTAGATATCATCTTTAATATAAACAATTAATGATAATATTGCAATCTTCCCTTTCAATTTAAAAAGATCAACGTAGTCAATCGTACCCCTGGTCGAAGTACAAGTTAGAGGCAAGGGTTGCGGTTCCCAGTATCATAGATATGTAGGTAGAAAGTGAAATGGAAAATGCTCTTTGCGATTGCAATCAATAATGAGCTGGTGCATCGCCGTGCACGTGGGTGAGCGGCAATCCATGACCGCAGATGATTTACTTACCGATGTGTGCTGGTAGCGTAGGACCTCAGGCACCATCTCGCGTTCGCTGTTTCTCACTACCTAGTACCCTTCGCTTTTTCTGGGGCATGTCATCCCACCACCGGCAATTGCAGAGGCACTTTTTACAAACGCGCTATTTTCTCGACATAACATACAGTAATAGTGATCCTTAAGCTGTCCAGCCTAGCTGGCCCATTGTATCCATTCGTGAATGCACAAAACATAATACTTATCCCAAGTCCCGCTACGCGTAGAAAGAGAATCCAATTGCAATCCCAAACGCCATCTTAGGTAAGGGAACGAAAACATGGTAAGCGTTGGCGTCCAGACGTGTTCCGTCGTCAAGCCTCTCAGCCCCATCTATCTAACCACTACACATCAAGCACTCATCTCTGTTATCGATACTGCCTGGGGGTTGGTTAGCGTATTTACTTTCGTAGACTTGGATAAACTTACACTGCAAAGCAGCCTCGGCATAGATGTCATTCTCTCTACCAGCACTCTCCTCCTTGAGATCCTCGTCTTGTTTCTTGATTGGGACAGCAGGCTCGGGTAGTTCCTCCTGCTTTGGGGGTGCAGCTGCAGGCTCAGTAGCTAGCGACTTGGGGCTATCACCTTCGGGTATATCTGCTTTGAAGGCAGGAGTCTTGAGGACAGCAGCAGGTGTGAATTTCTTGTTCTCAGACGCTGTCGGAGGGGTTGTCATCGGCGTCGGAACTCCATTTGGGGCACTGCTGGGAGCGGTCTTGCGATACATTGGCTGAGGACCGGGGGATTGCGTGATGAATCCAGTGGAAGGTCGTTTTTTGCTCAGTCGCTCACGGGCAACGTTGGTATCAGCAACGAGAAGAGCTTCTTGGTCGACAGTGAACTGGATAGGAGCTGAAGCAGCCATTGTGCGGAGGTAGTACATGCCGGTCTTGAGGCCCAATTTCCAGCCCGCAAAATGCATACTGGTGATCTTGCCCATGGTTGGATCCTTCATGTGAATGTTCATCGATTGTGACTGATCAATGTAAGCACCACGGTCGGCAGCCATCTGAACGATAGTACGCTGCGAGATCTCCCAAACAGTCTTATAAAGAGCCTTGATATCAGCTGGGATGTTAGGGATGTTCTGGACAGATCCTCCATCAGCAATAATACGGTTCTTCATGTTGTCTGACCAGAGTCCCATATCGACAAGATCCTTCAAGAGCCACGGGTTGACGACTTGAAATTCACCAGCCAAGACACGACGAGAGTAGATGTTGGACGTGTAGGGCTCGAAGCACTCATTGAAGCCGAGAATCTGACTGGTGCTGGCAGTTGGCATAGGGGCGACAAGCAGACTATTGCGGAGACCGTGTTGCTTGATCTGTTGCTTGAGAGAGTCCCAATCCCATAGATCTGTAGGGGTGACATTCCACATATCATATTGAAGCTCTCCCTTTGATGCTGGAGAGCCCTCGTATGTCTCGTATGTACCATGCAGCTTCGCCAGTTCGACAGATCCCGTCAAGGCGGCGTGGTATATGGTCTCGAAGATTTGGAGGTTGAGTTGTTTGGCCTCAGGAGACTCGAAGGGAAGACGGAGAGCGAGGAACACATCAGCAAGACCTTGGACGCCAACTGCAATAGGTCTGTGGCGGAAGTTGCTCTTTCGTGCCTCGGGAACTGGGTAGTAGTTGATGTCGATAATCTTGTTCAAATTCTTGACAACGACTTGGCAGACCTCGTGCAGCTTCTGAAAGTTGTAGCTTCCGCTGACTTGGTCGACATAGGTTGGGAGAGCAAGAGATGCCAAGTTGCAGACAGCCACTTCATCTGGAGCACAGTACTCGACAATCTCCGTGCAGAGGTTGGAGCTGCGAATAGTACCCAAGTTCTTCTGATTACTTTTTCTGTTGCATGCATCCTTGTACAGCATGAAAGGGTTTCCCGTCTCGGTCTGGGCTTCGAGGATGGAGTACCAGAGCTTTTGTGCCTTGATGGTCTTACGTCCCTTGCCTTCTTTCTCGTACTGCTCATAGAGAGCCTCGAATTCTTCGCCGTAGACATCAGCAAGTCCAGGGCATTCGTTGGGGCACATCAATGTCCACTCTCCATTCTTCTCGACACGCTTCATGAAGAGATCTGGAATCCACAGAGCGTAGAAGAGATCGCGGGCGCGGACTTCTTCTTTGCCGTGGTTCTTTCGGAGATCAAGGAATTCGAAAACATCGGCGTGCCATGGTTCCAGGTAGATGGCAAAGGCACCAGGTCGCTTGTTTCCACCTTGGTCAACGTATCTAGCAGTGTTGTTGAATACTCGGAGCATAGGAACGATGCCATTGGAGTTTCCGTTCGTACCCGCAATGTAAGCACCCGTGGCACGGATTCTGTGGACATTGAGACCGATTCCTCCAGCATTCTTTGAGATCATGGCGCAAGTCTTGAGGGTATCATAGATGCCGTCAATACTATCCTCCTTCATGTCGATGAGGAAGCAGGATGAGAGTTGTGCCTGCGGGGTACCGGCAGCAAAGAGAGTGGGGGAGGCGTGAGTGAAGTATTTGCTAGACATCAAGTTGTATGTCTCTATGGCACTCTCGATATCATTTCCGTGGATTCCGACCGCCACTCGCATGATCATATGTTGTGGACGCTCAGCAATCTTGCCATCGAGGCGGAGTAGGTAAGATCTCTCGAGAGTCTTGAATCCGAAGTATTGGTAGTTGAAATCCCGATCGTAGACGATGGCAGAGTTGAGCTCGGCCTCGTGCTTCATGACACACTCGTATGTAGCTTGGCTGATCATAGGAGATGCACTCTTGTTCCGCGGGTTGACATAGTGATAGAGGTCTGAGATAACAGTCGAGAACTGCTTCTTCGTCTGCTTGTGGAGATTGGATACTGCAATTCGTGCAGCAAGGATGGCATAGTCGGGGTGAGTGACTGTCATGTACGCAGCAGTCTCTGCGGCCTAATAGAACAGTTAGAATTTGACCCGAACGCAATACTACGCGTTATGTGAAGCAGACTTACCAGATTGTCGAGTTCAATAGTAGTGACGCCTTGGTAGACACCAGAGATGACCTTCTGGGTGATAGCTGCGGCGTCAACATGTTCGGCATCAAGTCCATAACACAATCGAGAAACACGGGCTGTAATCTTGTCGAATTGAACACGCTCCTTGCGACCGTCTACAAATTTATTAGCCTGACATTGAGAGAAGAGTTTGCAGAACATACCTCGCTTGAACACGAACATGATAGCGACGTATGGCGGTAGGAGGGGGTGGGCCGAAAGGGGTAGCGGAGATTTTCCTGCCGTAGATAATCAAGTGCAAGATGCAATGAGATGCGACTTGAAGAAGAGAAGCGTCAAGTCAAGGAGGAGACTTGAGGTTGCTGAAGGGGGGTGGAGAGTGGAGGATGTCGATGTTGTTTGTTGTCTGGGGGAGACGGAGGGACGGAGGGAGGAATGTTTTCTCAAGTACTGCTGGAAATCGCGTTCTACGCGTCGACCCCTGTCGATCTAGCGCGACAACGCGAAACCACTTTAAGGACTCGCTCTCGCTGCCTCTTGGGTCTCAATGCGGACTCTTCTCACTCGTCTTGGTATGAGGTAGTTCAAGTTATGAATACAAATTTGGAATTTATTTCTATTTCAAATTTGTTTACCACCAGGCAGATTGCCTGTCCAGGGCAGTATCCCTCTGCCAACCCGATCACGTGTGGGCTCAAGTGCTTGCAGGATAAGATCCCAGCGGATGATACTCTATGGGAAAGGCAAATGTCTATCTCATGCATTGTACGTAAGTCTAAGTGTTACTCGTCGAGAAAGGTCCAAGTTTACATTTCCACATGACACCTCTATATCGTTTTGTCATCGCATTCCTACATAAATTTACACGTCGGATAGTCCAGTCCCTATCCTGATACACAGACTTGGCCTGGGAGCCCTCAACACCTCCTAGGGCTCAGTCAACAGAGCCAAGGATACTCAGTCCCGAACATAGGCATTCGCGTCATAACCGCCAGATCCCAAAAGTTCGTCTATAGCTCTTCCCAGCCGAGCACGGTACTTCGAGCGATCCCTAGAAGGCATATGCGCTTTGTTGAAAGGGCCAGCGAGAGCGTCCTGCCAGGACTTGATCTCATGCAGCTTCTTCCCCTTCAACGACACGGTGATAAGATATCTGTCGCCGTTCTTCAACGAGATCTCATTGATGCCGCCATTTCTGGCAGTGAAGTTAAGCTGAAACTATAGCCTCGTTAGTGGAGTAAAAAATGGCGGCCATGACCGAATTTACCTCTGGCGGCCATTCCCATTGTTGCTTTTCGGCTAAACCTCCTCCACCATCTTGACCGTCTGTCGAGAACTCGAACTGTGGGGTTTGGGTGTATATCCAATCTTCGGACTACTAGAATCAGCTGGTTTCCTCTCTCAGGATCTGCCAGACCATACCATCAGCTCCTCAAACCCTTTCTTGATCTCCGGAACCTCTTTCAGCTCGTCATGTACCATAGTCATATCAAAAGCCCCATACATTTTTCCAAACTCCTCAACGATGGCCTGCTCAAAGCGATCATTCTCCAAGCCAACATTCGTGATCTTCGAGCTCACACTCTCGACGCCTCTCGACCTGATGTAAGGCTTTGCAGGAGCCCTCAGGTATTTTGAAATAGATCCTATGTTTGGACTTGAGAGCAAGCAAGTCCCATGGTGCACAGATCTCAGCCTCGTAAGCTTGTACGCCGACCCAGAAATCTTGAACGGCCTCTCTCCACCACCGGGAATAATCTTGTCCACAACAATATCGTGTCTCTCGTTCACCCTAGCTTGTCCCACCCCGAGACTCTGCAATCCTCTGACCACCATCTCTGCGTGCTTGTCTCGATCAAAGCTGGGTGTAGGCATGATGACACTGTAGTTGACGTTCCCTTCATCGTGGAAGACTGTTCCTCCCCCAGAACGGCGGCGCACTAGTTGGACGCCTAGATCCGAATTCCGCAGAACTCCTAGGTTTACTTCTGTCCATGGATTCTGATTTCGACCGATGATCACGCTGGGGCGGTTTGTGTAAAGGAACAGAACTGTGGAGTCTTCGGGGGTCTTCTGCAGAAGGTAGTGCTCGATTGAGAGATTGAGGTAGGGGTCCAGACTTCGAGATATGTAGACTTTAGATTTCTTGAAGGGATTGGTTGCTGTTTGGACGAATTTGGAGTACCGTCGTGCATGGCACTGTGGAAACCAGATTCCTTGCCGAAGCAGAATGTTAAATCCTCTGGACGGAGCCATCTTGGACAAACTCTGAATTGTCGATACCGAAGCTGAGGACGTCGAAAATTTGCGATAAAACCCCCTCAAGTTCACTGGAGCCACCCCTGCAACGATTTGACCTCGCTAATGATCGCCGGAATTTGACGAGTCATCTGAAATAAAAATCACCACCAAGCAATCTCTTAACCGCATCTCCACAACCAACCCTCGACGTTCAAGATGTCGACCTTTGGCCAATACTTTAAGGTTACCACGTACGATCATTCCAACTGAACTCTCCACACTGTACCGAAGCTAACCCTCCAACAGCTATGGCGAATCGCATTGTCGCTCCGTTGGCTGCATCGTTGACGGTGTACCCCCTGGAATGGTCCTCACCGAAGACGATATCCAGCCACAGATGACACGCCGTCGCCCTGGACAAAGTGCTCTCACCACTCCTCGGAATGAAATGGACACGGTTGAAATCCAATCCGGCACCGAATTTGGCGTTACGCTGGGTACCCCAATCGCCATGATCGTCCGTAACAAAGACCAACGCCCCAAAGACTATGGTAACTCGACGATGGACTTATACCCTAGACCGAGTCATGCAGATTGGACCTACCTCGAAAAATACGGTATCAAGGCAAGCAGTGGCGGTGGACGGAGCAGTGCGCGGGAGACAATTGGACGGGTAGCTGCTTCTGCCATCGCCGAGAAGTATCTGAAGCTTGCGCATGGGATTGAGATTGTTGCTTTCGTTTCGTCTGTTGGAAACAAGCACATGTTCCCTCCGTCTGTCGAGCACCCAACGCCTGCGACGAATCCTGCCTTCCTGTCACTGATCGCTTCTATCACTCGTGAGCGAGTCGACGAGTTCGTGCCAGTCCGTTGCCCAGATACCACAGCTGCCAAGGTCATGGAAGATGAGATTGCAGATTTCAGAGATAGGGATGACAGCATCGGGGGAACGGTCACCTGCGTGATTAGAAATGTTCCCAGTGGACTGGGAGAGCCATGCTTCGACAAAATGGAGGCTATGCTTGCACACGCCATGTTGAGCATCCCTGCTTCCAAAGGCTTCGAAGTCGGTTCCGGATTTGGGGGCTGCGAAGTTGCGGGCTCGAGACATAACGATCCATTTATCGTTGCTCCAGTTGTCCCTGCTATGGAGACTGGTGCTTCCAAAAATGGGATCCCTAGACCGAGACTTACTACCAAGACCAACAACTCGGGTGGTATTCAAGGAGGAATCACTAACGGTGCACCGATTTACTTCCGAGTTGCCTTCAAGCCCCCCGCAACCATCGGGCAAGCGCAGAATACAGTGACGTATAGCGGTGATGAGGGTGGAGTTCTAGAGGCCAAAGGGCGGCACGATCCTTGTGTTGTTCCTCGCGCTGTACCGATTGTCGAGGCTATGGCTGCATTAGTTATCGTGGATTCGCTCATGGCTCAACAGTCGAGACAAGTTACTAGAAGCCTGCTGCCTCCGCTAAAGCAGACGATTCCGGCAGCATAGACAGTCGTGAGAGGCGAGGAGGCGGTCGCGAAGCGAAATGCGAATGCTGAGGGCATTAACGGATCATGGTCTAGGTGCACAAAAGTCGAGTTTGTAAAATTCATCTACATATCATTATTTTAACCACCTTTTCTCTTGCATTCTCTCAGGCTGATCTCATTCCTACTCCAGGACTTGAGTTGGCACCTATACAGTCGATTTCTTTCGTTGCAAGACGATTGTCAAGGACACCTCCGACTGCCTCGGAGAAATCTCGCCTGACACTTTTGAACACCTGAAAATGAAAGGAGTGTTCCCACTCACACAATACCGCTTGTCAACTGAAATACTATTGCTCGCTAAACATGCATATGCCTGAAAGATTGACGAACGCACTTCTCTCCCTCGCACCAATCTACAAGAACCCCTTCTTGTAACCTGGCTCAAGTACTCGATACTCCCACCGGCGCCAACAGAACCCGACGGAGCGAAGGTCCGGTTTCTAAGCATCTTCTTCGGCAATCTCCCTGTCAATTTCCTCCTCTTCGGACTTCGATAGCGCGCGGGCTT